GAACAGAATATACCTTCCTTCATGTTCTAACGTGATATAATCACATTCTAACATGTAGCACATCTAGCTACCATGGGCGAAACTATGAAGGGGCTAGGGGGGGCCATGGCCCCCCTGGTTTTTTAACTTATAATATGTGGCTTATATAGAATAGGATTGGTTTTATATGTCACTTATCTTTCAGCCCTACAATGGATGCAATTCAAAAATGCATATTACGAAAATTCAAATAAAAATTAAGATAGTTTTATTTGTTAGAGATGTATTAATGTATATCTTACATGTTAACTTCTCATCAGTTATTAGTTAATTTTGTACTATTTACAAAATTATTATGTTATCATTTTGATTATTTTACTTGTATTAAGTGTTGATATAATTCATTGGAGGAAATAATTGAATCCGCAAAATATGATAGACCACTTGATCACCGGTAATTTGGCTAAAACCCTTATTAATTCTTTAATATGACTACCTAAATCATTTATTCAATCTGAATAACTATAAGACCCGGTTGTAAAACTAGGTTGTCTTACCCATTTTAACGATGTTGTATAACCCGTTTTTAACAGTGTTTGTGTCGGACCCCTAGTTTCAATGCCCGTGTTCCGCCCCTGCTAGCTACAAGCTCCTTACCTTAACAATGGTTGCGATACTTATATTGATCGCTTCGATTATCTTTCACTTCAATCTTCTGACTTAAGTCAGATGCTACATCGATCTTGGTACTTTGAACCACGTAACATATTCATCTTAGTCGGACTCGATTTGATATGACCACTAGGGTCGGATTAACAATCATCTTCTTAGTCATTACCGAAACGATGGTAAAAACAGACATTAACAAAACAAAATCAATTACTAGTGCCTTGGTAACCTTGTGACTTTCCCTGATCCAAGTGTGAGTCCTGTGCTTCCGGTAGTATAGGTCTCTACTACCTTTCACACCTACTCATACTCGTCCCAAGTATTGCCTCGCAGTTCTCCAAGTCATTATCACAAAAACAATTTTAACACATACAAATGTGTACAAACAATCATATAATTTTCCCTAGACTCTACTAGGACTTCTTCCATGCGTATCTTCAATCATCAATTCTACTTTAACTCGGTTGGTGATGGAAATGTCAGACGATGGGATAACTTCATGGATAATCTTTCTTTCTGCTAATCGAAAGTGTGCTTCTCCCATACTAGACGTATTATTTATTAAACGCATTCTAAAGGAATGATATCACTCTTACGAAATCTTCCGATAGGTACCATTCAATATCGTAAGCCTTCTCATTTCCTCCATTAACTCAATTCACTACGAGTCTTCACCACGATGTTCTACACACCAAAGCAGTCGTTTGGTGTATCGAGACGAGAATATAGATAGAGGAAGTTTTAGACGCGTAGTCCTCCTTATTACTTTGAAAAATTACATGCCAGTTCTAATATCGTAATTAAACGTTTAGAAATCTGAACACACAAAGTTTCCAGATCCAGTCGGCAACAGACCATAAATCCGATCAAACGATAACATCATAAAGCATCACAAATCATTTACCAGATAAAAGCAATTTAGACATCTTCCCTAAATGAGCTAGTGCTCGTGTCTATTCAGGTGCACATCCTAAAATATATTAGACACACTCCTCACGATCATCGCTTAGCATTCTAAGTTTAAGTCTAAAAATAAATACTTATTCCTAGTTCTCTTAAACTAATGCTCTGATACCAACTGTGACATCCCCATTTTTACGGCCAGAAAAGACTGATTTTGTTTATGCTTTATAAAAATCAGAGTACCCTTTTAATAAAAATGCTGTGGAATTTGTTCCCAGAAAAACATGATAAAAATGTTATCAAAGCATTTCCGAAGAAATGTATTTTTTTATTCTTTTTCAAAACATTGGGATGTCATCGTCAATACAAAAATATAAGCATAAACAAAACTTACATTCATTTACACTAGTGATCTACATCTCTTTTAAATCTCTCAGTGTAAGGTAGCTTCTTATCGACATATGTGATACAAATAAGCTTGAGTGGGTCAGGTTGGGAAACCTGGTGAGTACATAGAGATTTCAATCCCACAATGTTATATCATATATATATAATTGAGAACTCACAAAATATACAGTTTCACCACACACACACATATATATATATATATATATATATATATATATATATATATATATATATATATATATATATATATATATATATATATATATATATATATATATATATATAAGCAACTCTTACCCCACCCCGTCGATCCTCACAACGACATTATCCATACTCTCGGACCTTAAAATTTATCTCTTTACTTAATCCATACTCTCGGATCTAATCCATGCTCTCGGATCAATAATTGTGCCCATTCCATACTCTCGTACTAGGGACAACACAACTGTCTAAATCCATACTCTCGGATTAATGTCAAATAACTATGTCCTCTCCATACTCCCGGACTAAGGACAACTGACTATGTCTTAATCCATACTCCCAGATTAATGACAACTGACTATGTCTTAATCCATACTCCCGGATTAATGACAATTGACTATGTCCAATCCATACTCTCGGACTAAGGACAATGATTATGTCTAATCCATGCTCCCGGATCAATGACATATTTTAAAGTTCTATTCCCTGTGTATAACTCACTCGTACTCATAAGAAGATACTACCTAATATTCCTCATAATTAATTTAGGTTTACTCTTTATCCTAAATCATCATATATAATCAGGTATGTTCTTTAACACGTATTTCAGGAAACATCAAATAACTCGCACATAAACATATATTTAATACTTCAATCAATACTTGTATTAAAATCATGTTCATGAAAGAGACTATGCACTCACTTGTTAAGGTGGTGATTCTGAACTCAGACAGCGGTTCGCTTCTTAAAAATAATTTCCTTTGACGAAACTTACAAGAGGGTTTTAGCTAGGAGTCGGGCTCTGCAGGGGCAGAACTTCGTCGCTGAATCTTTCTAAGAAAGATTCGTGCAACGCTTCAACGCGCACCTTACTATACTAAAACTACAGAAAGAGAAGTCGAATCACGAGGGACCGAAATGCTCGGGGGATAAGAAGAGAAAGACTCATGAATCAAGAGAATGGTGCAAGAAATATGAGAGCTAGAGGCTCTTATTTATAGTGACTGAATTTTCAAAAACTACCATCCATAGTTACTTAATGACCTTATAGTTATATAAATGACTAAACACCTATTTATAATACTAATTTAAATTGATTTAATGATATTTGTACTAAACTAATGTCGAAAGTACTCAACACTAGTCTTATAACGACCGCATTGTCGATACCTTTCTAACGATATATACATATGTATATGTATGTTTACGTATTTATGATTTATACTTTATTTTAATACGTAAATGTGCTATTAAAAATTATAACTCGTTCATACGAACTCCGTTTTTGACGTTTTTTTATATCCATGCTTAGCTATCGACGAGATCTACAACTTTCGTTTAGACTCCGTCGGCTAATTTTGAATTTATATTTTTGTCCATTTTTTATAAAATTAAATGATTTTGCTAAAATCATAACTCTTTCGCACGGACTCCGTTTTTGGCATTCTTTTTCTCAAAATTCCTATTTTAAGGAGTACTACGATTTTCATTTTGGTCGCATTAGCTAAAAGTCAACCATTCTCTTCGTAGTTTTTTACGTCATACATTCGTTGTGCGCGGCTGACTTTTATATCTTATAAAAATCATATCAAATTCATACGGATTCAGATTTCGACGAAATTTATATTTTCGGGATCGGGACGACGTATACTTCCTAAATATATAATAATATTTATATGTTTTGGCGCACTTATTTTTACGATTTACGGACGATTCGACTGATTTTTTCTATTTTATTATATTATAATAATCATGAAACATATAATATTCAAATAATTATTCTTTATTACGTCGAATAGGTTACAGTTGTTAACCATAACTATTACTTTGGTTAAGATTATTTATCCTAGATAATCTTCTATATAAAAATCATTTTTAATGCTTATTATCTTAATTGACTAGCCCGAATCTGCGGGTGTTACAAATTTTTAGATATGAGTCTGAGTATAGGACTCTTGGTTCGTTAACTTGTGAAATAATTTGGGTATTGATAATTTTGTATGATTTAAAATTTATTAATATAGTTCATGTTGATCTTTTTTGCGATAATGAGTCTGCAGTCAAGCAACATGCTTTAAATCCAGTGTTTCATGAAAAAAGTCTAAAACTAAGCATTTTGAAATAGATGTTCATTTTATTAGGAAAAAATTGCAGAGGGTATTATTAATCTTGTTAAAGATGGATCTGTACTTCAAATTGTAGATATTTTGACTAAATCTCTTGGTTCTTTTCAACATGAACATCTTTATGAAAAAATGTCTTTGATTGATTCTTTTTCTATAAAATAAGTGGTCAAATGATTAGTTTAACCGAGGGTGTTGAAATAATGAAAGGTTTTATCAAACTAACCATTTAACCATTTTATTCTTTTAGTTTGTTTTGTATTTCCTTTTATTGTTTATGTTTTAGGTGTGAATTCTTAGTAGTTGAAGGGTGCAAAGTATAATTTGTTTGGGTCTTCACGCGGGTTATCAGGTCTATGGCTACCTAGCATACTTAATGTTTTGTTGTTTTTTTGGTTCATAAATGATAGATATTTCCTTGTGAGTTATCTCTTAGTCGTTGCTCTCTGTTTAGGGTTTCAGATTCTTTTTTTTTTTTTTTTTTTTTTAATAATCCTTCAATATTTGAGTGTATTTTGTATGAGAGTAGAATAGGAAACTTGTAATGAGGTTTGGTTGTAATAGTATGTTCTGGTTTGGTTTGAAATCAAGTTGATCATGTTAGAAAAATCGTGTTTATAATTTTGTCACAATCCTTTTTAACAAAAACAACCATAGGTGCATGATCAATAAACAAACCGCTAAGAAATATAGACTAAAGTGCCTCTTGAATATATTACGCAGCATAGACATTAATTGACATCAACAAATTTAAGGAAGTAAATGTTACTACCAATAATAATGCGCAAGAACAGTTTGAGGGCGAAAACTAGGAAACAGCAAAGATTCAATAGACCCATAGGATGGGTTTGTCAGACCCACCCAAGGACGCCATAAAATTTTGATAGAGGAGTTTGAATCATGTCGGATCTTAAATGTCTTATCGGAATCATCTTTCTCATCCCAAAAATCTAAGCAATCTGTTGCAACTTTTGTTGTTTGCATCGGATCATCTTTAGGAACAAGGACAGCCCTAAACCTATTCCCATTTCCATACAAATCCTCAGCACCAAAAGAAAACGAAATGACATTGTATATTGAATTCAAGCATCCGATGTGCCTCAATGAACTAAAGGAAACATAACCTACAAATGTCTCCTGAGAATGAGTATCAGGTGTTTCATCAGACTCCTGCCAAATCTGAGATTGAAAATCTTCGTCTAAGCCGCCCTGCTTGATACTTATATTAATGTCCAGATAAAGGTCACCACATCTGACAAACATCAGAATCCCAGAAAAGTGATTGCACCAATCATGTGGAAGCCGCATATTATAAGTCTTCACCCAGTCGATCCAAACTACAGATGGCCCACTCCAAATGTCAATGCCTGAAAGGCTGATACTGATAAAGTAATCTTTGGCGTTTCCCTACCACAAAACACATTCGATCATGATTCACCTGTATTCTTCTTATGTTTGGGTTTATATATATATATATATATATATATATATATATATATATATATACACACACACACACACACACACACACACACACACACCAAAAAAAAAAGAATGAAATTTAAAAGCCAAACCTGGAGCATGGAGTTTAGTAACTTGTCACAAACAGGTGGATCAAGTTTGTGGTTCCCAGTAAGAGTGACTTTCCACAACCATTTACAGTTTGAAATGTCTCCAAACCTTTTAAGTGAGAAACAACCATCAGCTATAACAACAGCAATACTTGATGGCAGCTCTGGCAGTTCTACAAGGTTATAGCATTTTGATATGTTGAGATATCGGAGCCGAGGAACTCGCAAGAGGCTAAAATTCAACCGTACAAATCTATTTCCTTCAAGATTGAGATGTTGCAAGTTGGGTAACTCCCAAACAGCAGCAGGTCTGATGTCTCCATCTCCCAAATTGCACAGCGAGAGATCCAGCTTTCTTAAGCATCCACTAAAAAAACACATCCGTATGGTGTTCATGTTGTGAGGTACAAAATTCTCCATATTTTGTTGGATCTTTGAATGACTATAAGCCAATCCACTGCACCCTGAGAGTACAAAGGTCTTGAGTTTCTTGGACCGGGTAATGGGTGGAACCATCTTAAGATTTTCGCAACGTTGTATCTGGACATAAACAAGCTTTTCCAAACGTCCAAATGATGGATGAATCTCTTCTAATAAAGAAGATCCTTCAACTATGAATCTTTCAAGGTTCGGAATCCCATCAAAATCAGGTGTCTTCATCAGGTTCATCAAGTAATACAGTTTGATCATTCTCAAGTTTGGTAGAAACTGTATACACGAGTGCACATAAGACAAAAGTTTGCCAAAACTTCATAGAAAATGGGTATAGTATATATATGCATTCATTTCGAAAAAAAAAAAAAAAAAAAAAAAAAAAAAAAAAAAAAAATGAACCGTGTTATATTTTATAATGTTTGTAAACATGGTTGGTTTAAAAAGATTCTCTACATAAAACCACATATGTCTTAAAAAAATTGATGGTCAAAACCATCACATTTGAAAAGAAAATTTGAGTTCATGAAAGTAATCAATTCTTTATAATAAAAAAACTGTCATACAAAATTGGTATCTTACAAAATGTGAATTATAAAACAAGTCATGCTTATAATAAAATTATCGATAGGAAACAACTTAAATTATTAATTTAGTCATACACTTTGCTTTTATCCACTAAAATATATATATAAATTACCTTGTAACCCTCCCAAAGTTGTTTTGCTTTGAGAAAACTCAATGATAGACAACAAAGCTCCCTTGGTGGAAAACTTTCTGGTATTATAACCAATTCAGCTTCCAGATGAAAGACCAATTCAATACACCGAAGTTTCTTCATATTTGCAGCGACCTGGAGAACGTGTTGTGATTCCTCTCTCCTAGATAACGCAACATACATAGCTTCAATCTTGTCAAGGTTCTGGGATACAGGAACAAAATGGTGTCAGAGTTGAGTCAAAAGTGTTTCTCTATAAATATTTATATCATGAAAAGCTAGCTTAACCGTTACCGGCGTTGCATCCATAGCACATATTTTTAGAACATCTTTCTTCTTCCAAAGTCTACTATGTTTTTCAGGATTCTTAGGGTGTTCCCCTCTAACAATATAGTGTGCCAACTCTTGTACCAAATCATGCATATCAAATGTTCCATTCTCAGAAATAGTTATGAGAGCCTTTTGTACCAACACCTTTATGCCTATAACAGGGTGATAACCACAAGCATCAAGTATCATCATATTCTGTTCATTTTTATAACACCCTCTGAAGAAACATGCAATATCAAGGAACAATTGTTTCTCCACAGTCTTAAGTCCATCAAAGCTGATTTTTAGTTTTTCCAAAATATTAGCATCTGGGATTTCTTTCAATCTAGCCAAGGCACTCCTCCACTCATTCATATCTTTGTCGCATAGAAAACGACCCAGAACTCTAAGTGCTAATGGAAGCCCACCAGCATAAGCAACAACTTTTTTTGAAAGAAGCTCGTAATCTTCTACATGTTTGTAACCCCGTGGTGCATGCTTGCAAAATAGCTTCATAGACTCATCATTGTTTAACAAGCTAATGTTGTGTATCACATCTACTTTGTGTCCAGTTAAGATATGTTCATCTCTAGTTGTGATTATTATTCTGCTTCCTTCACCAAACCAATCATGTGATCCAACTAACTCTTCTAGGTGCTCAAGGTTGTCAACATCATCAAGGACAATCAAGACTTTTCTATGGTGTAACCTATCCTTTATCATGCGCCTTCCCTCTTCAACTCTCCTTACCTGCACTTGCTTTTGTCTCAAAACACCACAAAGAATTTCTGCTTGCAATTTTTCAAGACCATTCTTATTAGTTGATTCCTCCCGGATATTTTTTAGAAAGCAACAACCATCAAACTTACTAGAAATTTCATCATAAATACAAGAGGCAATAGTAGTCTTACCACCACCCCCAACTCCCCATATTCCAATCATTCTCTTACCACCAAACCCAATTTGTAACTTTGATATCAAATCTTGCATGCGAGCCTCTACTCCAACCAGGTTATCATCCACACTCGGAGTTACCGGATACAACCTATGTGAAATTGTGTCAACAATTTTTTTGATACATTTTGACTCGTGCCTGCAAATTGGATATATAATGATTATTAAAACATGCTCACAATGACAGATAGCCTTATCATAAACTACTACCCTAGACAATGTCTACTTTGTGAGTTCTTAGCAAATGTTAATCTCCATTCTCCAGTAGCAGTGATTATTATTCAGCTCTTATCAAGTGATCTAGTTAAAGCCTTTGTGTATCAATTAAGGTCATCAACATCATCCAGAACAATCAAAGCATTTGTATGACAGCATACTTATTATCATCACTCTATACTACCACTTGTGTTTTCAGAATAGCTAATAGAACTTCTTCAGATCATACATGTTGGATTGCTTAAAAAATATAGATTCCGTAATTGGATTATTGCATAGCACAAGTGTATAATCATTCACATCGTTTTGCTCAAAAACATGAATTATATCATCAAGAATTTGGCTGTATACTATAAAAGCTTATAAGGTATAAGTACAAATGTCTTGTAGTAGAGCACACATCTTAAGCATAAAAAAAAGTGCACAAGCAAAGAAGAAAATTACGCGTTGGCAATGTGCCCGATTTCCCCTCCAGAAATGTTAGCTGCATCCACAAGTGCTTTTCTCCAAGATTCAACCTTGGCCTTGTTCTCCAACTCATGTTTCACAAATGCTTCTCCGTATTTGCGTTTTTGTTTTCGAACTTCGGAAGGATCAACGTCATAAAATACGGGCATCACGATTTGGCCTCTTGTATCCTTGCATTTCATAATATATGCAAGTTCATCTAAGCACCATGAAGAATCTGCATAGTTTTTAGAGAATACAACGATGGCAATCTGTGATTCTTCGATAGCCGTCATAAGAGATGGACTAATTGGTTCGCCCCAAGGAAGTGTCTCATCGTCCTTGTACGTGTAGATCCCTTGTTGTACAAGAGCTGTATAGAGATGATCTACAAAATTCTTGCGAGTATCTTCTCCTCTGAAGCTAAGAAAAACATCATACTTCCACAACTGAGAAGAAAAGCCCATAGCGGAAGGAGAAGAGGACGATGAAGATGCCATTGATATGCAGTTTGAGTACTTCAACGAAATGAAATATAACTGAGATGTGAGTTTCCACTACCTGTTATCATGTAGAAAAACATCATCAGAACTCATAATTGAAATAATAATTATTCCATTTAGAGAACCTCATAACTAGCCCTTTAATTGTGTTTGTTTTTTTGTTTTTCATTTTTTTTTTGTCAATAAACGCCTTTGACAAATAATGCAAGTTAATGACTAGTATCTTCGATCTAAATATAACGTTTTAATGTCCCCTCTTAAAGGATCGTTTAAATTCCCTATTACCCTGTTCGATTCTCTTTTTGTATCCAAAACACATATGCACATCCTTAGACTCATTTCCCACTAATTCCAGTCGTTTATAACACAAAAAACATCTCATGAACTTCACAAATTGATTAATTGTATCATCCAACTATACTAATTCAAAAACTTCACAGATTTGACTATTTTACGTCAACAGACGTTTCCGACATTCCAATCGACAATCACTTCCCTTTTCTTAAACCGTTAATAAATTTACTCAGTAAGTCACTTCATTAACATTTCAATTTATTTATTAATAACTTATACTTTATCAATTTATCAGTTTGAGAAACGTACCTCAAATTCCCAGCGACGGCGGATTTTAGCAGACTTCCTTTAAGATTTTACTTTGCAATCAAATCACCGCTTACACTTCAATTCCCGTAGAGTTTCTTCCGTAATTTGTTCTTTCAGCTGGGATCGATCTGAGTAGGAAATTTCCCAGCAACACCAAGCTTTGAAAAGTAATCCCAAACACCCTCTGATTATTTCCTCTCCTTTCTCACCTCACAAGTCACAACTCTTTAGATAGATCATTCTAAGTTTAGAAGTTTCAACATTTAGTCCCCACATTTTTACATTTGACATTCTCACCTCCAAAACCTCAAAATTTGACCACGTCCCCAAAAATTACACTTTCAAGTTTAGAAGTTTCAATATTTAGTCCCCAGACTTTTAAATTTTACACTCTCCCCAAAAATTATACTTCCAATTTTTCCAACACTATTGAGGTCTTCAATTAACTATTATTGTTGGTATTCGATTATGGAAGATCATACACAATCGAATATACTAGTAAAGATACCAAAATATCAAAACCAACATCTCTTATGCAAGTATTGGTAAAGATATCAATGTTTCAAAACTACATCACTTAGGCTGTACGGAGTGGACTCGACACATCTTCGGCAGCGGTAACATGGACTCGGGAAACACCGCCTCGTGAACTCGACATCTCCTCGCCAAATCTCTTTCTTCTTCATCTATTCTTTCCTTTTTTCTCCCCACTCGGCTGCCCACCCCTCTCTTCTTCTTCTGAGCTTCCCCCAAATGGAGCTTATGTGGAGTTCGGCAAGTGCTACACGACTCCCCTCGGTCTTAGTTTGGATTTTCTTTTGTAGATACTAGTAGTATATATGTTTAATGGAGGCTGTGATTAACCCGTTAAAGAGTTCATACAGTTTTGTATCACAAATCATTTCTAATAATATTACTAATTAAATGTAAAATTAAAAAGAGAAATAAGTTTGCAACAACAAATTATTAAAATCGTTATTATCCTTTAGAATATTTATCTAATATTTGAATACTCCTGTTATTACCAATTTGATTTAGATTAGGATTCTAATTTCCTAGTATAAATACTTGTAATTGGCTTCGGTTTTTAATCATCAATTGAAAATATAGTTTTACATCAGAATTTTACATGGTATCAGAGCAAAATATGAGAAATTGACCAAGTTTTGATTAAACAATGGTTAGTGGTGAAGGATGATCAAATCCGCCACCACCTATACCAAAGACCATCGATGTCTACTCACCTTATTTTCTTACTTCTTCGGATCATCACCGGAGCGTCGTTGGAGAGAATCTTCTCCATGACATAAACAATAGCGACTAGAAGAATGAGATGATGAACGTCTTGTTTGTCAAGAATAAGATGGGTTTTTTCCACACTTCTCTACCCATGCCATAAGAAGGATCGAATGACTTGATGAACCGGAAAAGATTCAATGCCATGATGAGAGGATGGCCTGTCAATCCTATGGAAAAAGCGATCAAGAGCAACGTTAAATACGCAATCACCACACGTGATATATGGCTGGATTTTAAAGAAAGATTCGAAAGAGAGAACGCCCCAACCAAAATCTAGATCTACAACGTATGATGCTCATAGGACTCAGGAGAGTCATAAAGTTGTCAACTTTATGAGTTCCATCCTTCCAAACTTGCTCAAACATGAAGAACATGGGACAATATCTTAGTTCTAGTGTAACAACCCGAAACTTTTTCGTTCAAATCGTTAAAAAATAAATCAATTTGGAATTTATTTCTGCTCTTGCCGTCATTATTTTGAGCTTAATTAAATATTCTAGGCTCGGTCCAATTAAGTTTTGGGTTCAAAAATGAGGTTTATAAGTCAAAGCATAGCATCCGAGCCAAACACCCCCTTCGAGAGGAGTTTACGGCCGCAAACTCAGTTTACGACCGTAAACCCTGTTCACGGCCGTAAACCCCCCACCACCCCCTTGGCCGTAAACTCACCCCTATATAAAGGGTGAGTGGCTTTCATTTCCAGCTTTAAGCACTCAAGGGACTTTCTCTCTCTACTCTCTCTCTCTCTACAAAATTCGAGTTTTGCTCAAGGATCTTCAAAGTGTAAGTGATTCTTCACTTCTATGGTGTTTCAATCCCTTTTCTAGTGATGAATCCATGTTTCATCTCATAAAGTTCATCTTTTTCTAAATCTTCTCTCTCACCAAGAACACCAAGAACACTCACTAGTTCTTGGTGGCTAAAAACCTCATTCCAAGCATCTTACAATAAGTAACTACTCCCTATGCTTGTTATCTACTAGGAATCACTTGTTTTCACCAAGAAATCGACCTGAAATCACGAACACGAGAGGGGTTTACGGCCGTAATCCCTTCAATGGCCGTAAACTCCATTTTTTGTCGATTATTGGCCTTTAAGCTCCTCCTTGAGTTGGGCATAAGGCTTAGAACACATCCAAGAGGCTAGACAGGACCTTGAAACACCAAAAATCGCACCTTTCACCAAGTGTTTACGGCCGTAAACACATAGGCCGTAAACCCACAGGCCGTAAACCCATGGGCCGTAAACCCATGGACCACAAACACTTGGACCGCAACCCCTGACCGCACACTCCTGATTATGGCCGCAAACTCCCCATCTTCAATCACGTGTGATTCTAACACTTTGTTTCAAGTGTTTTCTTAGTCCCAAAGGTGGTTTCCTTCCATAACAAATAGTGTTATGTCCCCATTTAATGCATATATGTATTACCATATGTTAATAGGATCCACTTGCGTACGAAACATCAATTGACACTCAGCATCCACACCGACCTTACGCTCGGGTCTTACGTCAAACTGTGAGTTCATACCCTTACATTTTCCGTGTTTTTAATGTTTTTAGGGGGGAATACAAGCCAAACTCAAAGTATTTTATTAAGTTTTAAACTTATTAATACAGTCCAACGATTTCCACGTTTAATAACATACTCGTATACTTAATCCCTTTTGTAATACGTTGAACATAAGGGAAACTGTTATTTTGGAAATTTAACTTCACGGCTTTCAGAAAGGTTTTACAAAGCATTTCCATATCAACTCTAATAAACTATAATGGGTATAGTTTGGGATAACCCTCTAGACAGTCTCTACTAAATCAGATTTCATGGATGAATATATATAAACTACGGCAGATTTAGTTTATGTTATATATGTTTTCTCAGAAGTATAAAGTACATTTATTCAAGGAAAATTACTGTTTTATACTCTTTCCCGCTAGTAAACTAGATTATACAGAATTGTGAGGCTCTACTTCAATACTGTACTCTTAGGTGTACAGTGATAAATCCTTTTAGTATAACTAGAGTGTCCTGGAGGGAGAGCGTGAGATTTGTGAATAGATCTATTCGGGACTGACAATCCCACACCTGAACTGCTAGCTACAGTTAGGCGGGCACGCCTGGGGTGAACAGATGTCATTTAGCTTAACGCCTGAAGAACGTTATAAAGGTCTCTCGGTCATATCAAGTATGGTTATACGACTCGCAAATAAGTATAAACTAACTCCGGTTTACGGACTCTACTCTTCATTGTTTTATTTTGAGTAGTAAAACCACTTTTATACATACTGATAGTAATCAGGGATTTCTAAACCGGCGTCTCTACCTCTAGAACGGATAACTTGTTTTTAGGGAAAATATAGGATTTTCCCAGGATAACACTGACATTTCTGAAACTGATGATTTACTTTCTACTAACAGATACTCTTCCAAAAACTACTTTCCATAAGAAAATACAGGATTTTCTTGAGGAACACTTTTCAAAAAGGATCAAAGAAACATTTTCCACAAAAACTAAATGCTTATGAACTCACCAGCTTTATGTTGATATTCTTTCAAAACTGCTTGTATTCTCAGGAAATCAGTAGACAGGTACCTGCTGGAATTTGAGAAGCTGGAGCAATAAGAGTCTTATTGTAACGACCCAATTTTTACGTCCGAAAATTTCCTTTTTGATTAATTGATTTGTAAAACATTTGTATTAAAACATCATCCGATCATATCATATCATAAAAATATATCTCCTGTCTGAAAACCAAATCATAAAATAATAATAATGTCAGAGTACAATCCCAGAACATCTCATAATGCGAAAAAACCAATGCGTGTGTGTATGATGTGCCGCTACCGCGCCAGCTCCTTCCCCTTCGCTGAAGAGGTACCTGAAACAAAACTGTAAACTGTAAGCACGAAGCTTAGTGAGTTCCCCCATCGTCCACATACCATACAATCATATAGCATACATACTGCCAGGCATTTCTGGGGTGCCCGACCTACCCGTATGGCCATTCTGGGGTGCCGACCTACCCATGCGGCCATTCTGGGGTGTCGTCCTACCCATGCGGCCATTCTGGGGTGCCGTCCTACCCGTGCGGCCATTCTGGGGTGCCGTCCTACCCGTGTCAAGCCATTCTGGGGTGCTGACCTACCCATGTCGAGCCATTCTAGGGTGCTGACTACCCTTCAGTCCTAACAACCGAACCTCGGGGACTATTTCACCCCCTATACTACTACTATCGCATATATCATAGCATAATCTACTGTCAGACATATCTGGGGTGTCCGACCTATCCTTCGGTCCTAACAACCGAATCTCGGGGACTATTCCCCCTCATACTACCTCTAGCTCATGTAACATATCATGCTAGCAGCTAAACATATCATAACATACTGTTAGGCATATCTGGGGTGCCTAACCTACCCCTTCGGTCCTAACAACCGAACTCTATCACTATCACATATCATATCACGCTAGCATATAACATATCAGGTAGTAGCAACACAGATGGATATCACAAAGACAAACATCTATCATACGATCCCTACTGGTGGGCCGGCATTGTGGCCGTAGACCCACCGCTACTGGAAGGTAACTCACCTCGTAGTAGCTGTTGATCTGTGCGGGAATCCTCTGACTGCTGTCGCTGCTGCTCCGGAAATCCTCCGGCTATAATTCCCACAAAACACTTAGTCATACACTGCTAACTGTTCTTAGGGTAAAATGACCATTTTACCCCTGACCAAGTCAAGGTCAAAGTCAACTTCCAGTTGACCTGACTCGCCGAGTTGGCTTGCCAACTCGCCGAGTCCCTATCCTTCCTTTTGTCCTTATACCCGTCTGTACTCGTCGAGTTAGGCGATGACTCGACGAGTTTTCCTTCTAATTGAACATCGACATGAAAACTCATCCGACTCGCCGA